GCCCCACTTCCACCCCTCCTTTCCTTTGCCTCAGGTCCCAACCCATACCTGCCCAGGTCCCAGGTGTTCTGTGTCAATGCTTGTGTGGTCACCATGGTTGTTCCAAGGCAGAGAGATACCTGTGGGTGCTGCCCCTTGCTCTGCTGGAGGTGAGGTGCATGGGACATGAGTGTCCAGCAGCTGCAGATGGTCCTCAGCTCCTTCCCTGTTAACTTTTCCCCACAGCAGCAAGATGTCGGAGTTAGAAAACACCTTCCGCAAATTTGCAGTATATGGTTAGACATCTGCCAGCGGCAATGAAATGACAGGGAAAAACTTCTCCAAGATGTGCAAAGAGTGTGGGGTGACGGATGGGAAATCTGTGACCAGCACTGACATTGACATCGTATTCCACAAAGTCAAGTGAGTATCACAGGGAGGCACAGTGGGCAGTACAGCTGGGCTGTGAGGGTGAAATGGCAGGAGGTGGACAGGATCTCATGCAAGGGACAGCCCTGGGGGTCTCTCATCCCACTGCCACCGAGTGGAATGATAACTTTTGTCTTGGTTTCCCCTTGCCACAGAGCCAAGGGTGCCCACAACATCACCTTTGCTGAGTTCCAGGAGGCCATGAAAGAGATCTGCGAAAAACGCTTCAGGGGCAAATCACTGGAGGAAGCACTGCAGGCTGTGTATGGCCTCATCTAGGGGAAGGAGCCCAGCAGCACGAGCACCACTGTGAGCACGAGTTACCTCACCCACTGTGCACCTTGAACTGCCATGGGGCCATTTGTCCCTGCTGTCTTTGCATGTAGAGAAGAACTTGTGTGTGAGCTGTCTCCTAATGCTGGCTGTCTCTTGCTGGTCTGTTTTCTTGCAGAAAGCCACCAAGGCTGGTGGGGTTGAGAGGCTGACAGACACGAGCAAATACACCAGCAGCAGCCACAAAGAGCATTTTGATGAGAGTGGCAAAGGGAAGGGTCTTGCTAGTCACCGTGATCTGGCAGATAACAGTGGCTATGTTGGACCCTACAAGGGAGCTGGCACATATGACCAGACACATAAGAAATGAAACTGCTTAAGAAAACAAGGACTTTTCCCCTATAACATGGGAAGAAAAGCAAATGAACGTCTCATGCAGGCAGCCTCCTGTGTCTGTGCACCCTAAATCCGACAAGGTGGGAATACATTGGGTGGGCGCTGGATGGCTCTGAAGAACGGTGCTGGTTCCTGATAGAAACGCGCTTTGAATGCTGTGCAGTGGGGTTAAATCACAGAATCGCAGAATCTCAGGAGTTGG